CCAATGCAACACCTGGCCCAACTTTTCTTTTTCAATCTTTCTGTTGCAAATTGCTGCTGTGATTTTGGATCGTTGTCCTGTTGTATGACTCAATTTTGGCCTAGCTGTAGCTGTCAGACAGACTGAGGACAGAGCACTCCATCACTGTGCTTAACAGCTGGTATGAGGTGTTTGTTCTGATATGCTGTGTTTGGTTTTCGTCAAACATCTTCACTTAGGTCTTGCCTGACAAAAGGAGATTGTTACAGAGCTCCCGCGGTCTGTTCAGATGCAACTTTGCAAAGATAAGCCGTGCTGCCAAGTTTTTTTTTTAGGGAGTAGAGGGTTTCTCCTGGCAACACCTTCCAAACAAGCCGTGCTTGTTCAGTCTTTTCCTAAATGCACTGTCATGAACTATAACATTTAGCATGCTAATTGAGGCCTGTAAAGACTGACATGTAGCTCTTAGTTTTTTTTTTTCTCCAATTTCTTTGACTCTCTGAGTCTGACCTTTGGATAAATTTGCTGGGACTTCCACTTCTGTGAAGATTGCGGCATTGCACCGATTACACCAGATCAAAAAAAACCTTAAAAACTTAGGCTTTAATAGGGGTGGTCACACTTGCTGATGACAAATTAATCAAGTGCATGTGATTATCATCATCTACTTACATTTTGAATTTCTATGGAAGCCGTACTAAGTACTCAGTTTTTCACAGAACTACAGAGTTCTTTCTTTTTCACATGACTGCCATATATGTATCACCAAAGATTAGACTCACAAGTTCATTGTGGGACTAAAACTGAAATATATTCACAATCACTCTTTCTGTTAACAAGTGATAGTGCTTGAAACATGTATTAATGTCATTATGACCTTTGACTACCATGTAATAGTCAGCTGGGGCCAAGTAAATGTTTTTTCCCAAATTAAAAATAAACAAATAAATAAAAGCCTCATGGCATAACTGTTTTTACCTGAATGAAACAAACTGACATATGGATTTGTGCAACACCTAAAAATACGTTGCCATAGGGCACAGCTGCTGGAAACCAAACAAAAAGCAAAAGCTTAACTAGATCAACTGAACATCAATACTGACTGTGCAATAATAGCTCCCCTTAAATGTGAAACACAACATCTTAATTTCTTTTTAGCTCAATTTAGTATAGTGTGTGATGGTGTGTACGGTTTTAGCAGGTGCTTGTCTATCGTCTAAAAAAACATTTCACAAGAAAAGCTTCATTAGTAAACACTGTTACAGATATTCTAAAGGTTTTATACTGGAGTAGTGACAAGGAAAATAATCTGATCTGAAATCCTCAACCTCTGAGCATCTCCATCCCAGAGATTACCCTGCTTTGATCCAGTACAGTCAAGCCAGTCATATGAGCCATTTTCCAAAGAAGCTTAGTAACTCATTATCGGGATAAGGCTTACACTAAAGTGGCTCACTCCCATTAAATGAGAATTAGGGCTGTGTAACAGTAGCATACCATTATCTAGCACACATACAGTATGACAATGTGCAGTATAAAAGCGGTGAAAAAGTTTAAGACGCAGGCATTTTTTCAGAGAGGCATCTGACTAAGCCTTAATTCATTCACCAGCATGACACCAAGCCCAAACCTTTAGCCACAGTCATAATCTATCCTCAGTGACAAGAAGAACAACGAGTCCTGCAACAGATCGCCTGGGCCACACAGACTCTCTTGATCCCAACATCATAGAGTCAGTCTAGGATTATATCAAGAGACAGAAGCAATGCAGACAACCTAAAACCTCAGGAGAAGTGTGGGAAGTTCCCCAGCATGCTGGAACAACCTACTTGCCAAGTACTTAAAAAAAACAGTGCTTAAGTGTACCAACTAGAAGTGGAACAGTTTTAGATTACCTCCTCTTTACAGCACATAATCTTGCATAATTCTAACTGATAAAAAATATTAATTTATGGAACTACTATAGAAAGAAGCTGCTCTTTAGCATCTAATCATTTTGTAATGCACGGGCAAATAATATTCTATAACAAACATATTTTCTTTACTGTGCAAAGGCAGTAGTCAGTAACCTGTATTTGGCATGTATCACAATAGATTTGTGACTCTTTTCTGCTGCCAGCTTTCAATGCTAGATGCACGTTCAGTCTCGCTTTTAATGTGATAAGCTTGGATTTATTTTTTTTTTGTGTACAACTATATTCCATTTAAAAATGTATGATTAGTGATTCCTATAATCATTACTTGCCATTTACAACAGTTCTGATCAATTGTATATAATATATACATGAAAATAAAGGGCTTTTCTTTCAAAGGGGTCAATGAGCAGGAGATACTTTTGCCCTGTGGCAGCCGGGATAGACTCCAGATCACTCACAACCCTAAGATGGTTGAGTGGTAAATAAATATTATCTTAGCTGTCTGCATTTTACAAAGCTTTTTGGCATTACCTTTTTGGCCATTGGACAGAAACTACACACTTAAAACTTTAATGCCCAGGTCACAAAACCATATGCGCGATCAACATCATTAACATTGCAGTTGCATAAATGCCATGAGTAAGTCACATTTGCAGTTATGTCACTTTGTTCACACATTCCTCTTTTGTGACTGTATGGGAGTGGAAACGCACTCCATGTATCTGATGTGATGGTGAGCTGGGTTCCCACAGTCTCTCCCAGTTGTTACAGTACTCAGAAACAAAGAGCCACTTATTTGCTTTGTGCAGTTCCAAGCACCGTCCTCTTTTATGCAATATCTCTTAGCCAATAGGTTCAATTCTGTCATGCCCAAACATGAACAGATTTCATTCAGTGCTTTTTCATATCATTAACAGGTTGTGACAATTACTGCCTTTTGTAGTAGCCTTTTGTAATGTTTCAAATTAGTCAGATTACAGTGATCTCAGAGCTAAAAAGCTGTTTTAAGATGCTACAGAAGCTGTCATCATAAAGGTGGAATTACCGTTTGCTCATGTTTGTCCCTGATGGGGCATTATCCTCAATAAACTGGTACGTTAATATCAAGTGATTAAGTTAATCCATTTATATGCTCTTATAGCAATTGATCTGAATATCTATTTAAATTTGAAACGCTCCGGCTTCACTGATACACAGCTCTCAAATACAGGTGCACCCGGTTGTGCAGGACCTAAATTTAAGTCAAAGCCTTGCTGAAACACAATAGCGCTTCCTCGAATACAATGAGAGGAAATGTGCAAGGTAGTTCATACAATATGGCTAGATTGAAAGCTCAGATTACACCAATCAACCACCCTTAAACAAAATCCAGAGGGGTGATGAATATTCTTTAGTGCTCAGGAAGCCATTGAATGGGGCATTACAGGAAGAGCTTTCTATGGAGCCCTTACACTGTGTCAACATTATTTGCTGGAGAGTTGTACTGTGAATTCTGCATTAGATTTGAATAAGCAATGAAACAACTACATTCAACACTGGTATACAGATTTTTGCACGCAAGGGTGGATGTCAGCTGTTATTTCCCTTTGTGTTTGTAGTTTTTTGCAACAATTATTAAACCTCCATTATTGCAAAAACGAAACAACCAAACAAAAAAATACATTTATTTAGAGAACTGAGCCATCATAAGATAAGGCAAATAATATTGACGCATAATGTATGCTGAGTAAAAGTGCAGGTGCATGAGTGGAAATATTGTGATGCTACCTCTGTTAAAATCGGATCAAAAGCGTTAAAGTCTGTCGGGCATAAGCGCACGTCCTGAGTTTATGTCATTACACTAATGCCTGCAAATGTTCCGTCCACTTCTGCAAACTGTTTAGGAAACATTCAGAGCGTCAACAGCTCAGATCGCTAACTTTCTGAAACGTTACTCACAGCGTAAGTGATGCTTCGCTCCAGATCCCCCATCACAAAGTCTCCGCGGACGAGAAGTGACCCTTCAACTGCGCTCAGAGCCCATTAGTGCCAAATTAACCGATTTCACGCCATCGTCCCTGATACAAGCAACCCACATGTTTACAGCCAGCACTGCCCGGCCTTACGTCTACTGGCAAGTGACACAAGTTCTGGGTACGATTTATATTGCTACAAGCCTCATAAATAAAGTTAGGCCTGGCAGGGAGGGGGCGACAGGAAGAGTCAGCCCTCTTTGTGTCAAGTAAACAAACGAATCCCAAAGCACAGAAGCGCATACCTGCAGGTACATCAGAAGCAGCACGGTTAAACAGTTTCTCTTTTTGCGCGATACTTCAGAAGTGTCAATCATTCTTAGAACTACATTACCCAAAAGGCCGTGCCAGGCACTGTTGCTACTGAGAGGTTTGGGAACCCAATTATAATACAATAAATAAGTAAATGAATTTAAAAGTAAAGTAAAAGTAAAGAGTATATTAAAGTATAATAATACTTTAATTCTTCGTTCTTTTACTTTACTGAGCATTTTGCTAGCTGGGATATGCTCTAGACCTATTGGT